TCAGTGGCTTTATCCTCTAACAGACCTAAGAAGGAAATGATGGAGGATAGGGCAGAATGCAGCAAATGGTAGAGCACCCAGATCCTTACTGGAGTGAGTTTCTCTGATTTCTGGTGGTCTGGAGGAGGTCACAGAGACATTAGAAAAGACAGGACAACAAAGGACCAGGACTTTAGACAGAGGGGCTTTTCTACAGGTGGGTAGACAAAAAGAAGCTGTGTTTGCTTCTCAAGGCCTGTCCTAGGGACAGGCTGGGAGTCTGCTGCCCACCCCTTGGGGAGGGACATTCACCCCTCCCCTTCCAGCCTAGATTCACCTTTAGCTGCACTCTGAGTTTAACTGCGACCTGGTGGCTGTGTTATGCCCTCCCCAGGCACCTGGACCGGCGTGTGGCTTGACTTCATACCCCCTTAAATAAGAATGTGAAACAAGATTAGACCCTGTCCTTATGCCATATGCAGCTGAGGAGGCTAAAGGAAAGACAGCACAGATGATCCCATTGACTAGAATGGTTGTCCTGTCAAGCAAAACAAGGGCACTAATAAATGTCACATTTACATCAGTTTTTATTTTTACAAATTTCTATTTTAATTGTAAATATTCAAGAAGTACAGAATGATAATCTGATTTGTATGTGCTCTGTGTAATGGTTAAATCAGGGTGGTTAACATTTTCAAGTCAAACATTTAAAACTTTCATTAATATAATAACTGTACTTAGTTACAAGGCACAAGACAGCCTTTTAATACGTGCATACAACATGTGCTCACCATAGCAGAGAAATTACTGTTCACATAGCCTTTTTGCTTATGTCTGGAGCCCTAGATCGTCTCTCTTCTGTTGCAGGATATTTGATCACAATGTGCCCCAGACTATGTTGCTTACTGGGAAAACCTGTTTCTAGCTGTGGTGTGGCTCAGCCCTAACACACACCTTTAATCCAAGAGCTTTCTGCTTGAGTATTGTAAACAGGGTTAAATAAAATTAACCCTGTTTAATCTTAATTTTGTAATCCTGTTAATTTTAATTTTGTAGGTCAAGAGGCAGAATAAGCAACCAGTTTATTAAAATACATTACAAAATACATAGAGAGTAAGAGAAAGTCGGATAGATAGATGCACAGGAAGTAGAAGGGAGGAACATTCAGTTTGGAGGTATTTTGGAGATGGCATGGGGAAGGAGCTTTGTCTTTTGCCTTTGGGACATTGGCTGAAGAAGAAGGTCAGCTGGGTGCTTTCTCCGCCTCTCTGAGCTAATAGACTTTCACCCCAGCATCTGGCTCCTGGGTCTTTTTGGTAAAATCAAATGATTGAGATTTTTTGATAAAAACAACACTCTTCCATAGAAAATACAAATTTACAGAAACTACAGTTACCCTGTTATGCTATAGAACAATAGATTTTCCTCCTTCTACCCATGTTTTTATACCCAGTATTCATTCTCCCCTTACTTCCCCTCTTCCCAGATTCTAGGAAATCACTAAAAAAATTCAGAATGACAATTTTTGCATGTGTTAACATATGGCATTTAACTTTCTGTCTGATTTACTTCATTTAATACAATTTTCAATATTATCCACTTTGCTAAAAAGAAAGGATATAATTCTTTCTTAATGTACATATGAATAATATATGCTATTTTAACAATATTTTATATTAATAAAATTACATTGTACATAAACCACAATTTTTCTTAATCTCCTCATTCACTTACAGATATGAAGATTGAATATGTATCTTAGTATTGTGACGGATGCTCAGTAAACATGGATTTACAGGTACCTTTGGGGATTTGATATGCTTGGGTTTATTGTAAATCTTTTATTCACTTGATGCAATTGTCATCTTGGGGCTTACTGCTGAATAAGCTCACCCTTTCTAGTTCTTTCTGAACTCTGGGTGGCTGGTTCAACTCAGCTGTTCTAGTTTAAGCTTCTCTGACAACTGAGTGATACCCAAGCTCAAACTTCTCTCCAAACTGGCTTCTCTCAGCTTCTGACTGAATTGTTCTGCTTGGTCTCATGCTGACTCCAGGTATTTATTCTAATCTTCTGTGTCATTCTCTGGCTTGCTCTGTCTTCACGTGCATCTGGCTTGTTCTCTCTGAAACCTGTCTCTGTAAAACTGTTCTGATAAAAACTGCCTCTCAGCTCTACTGCATTGCTTCTAAACTGACTCCCAACAGACTGACCTCAATTCAACTGAACTGCCTCTCCCTATTCTGTCTTAAATTGATTGCCTTTCTTTCCTGTGCTTGAGTTGGGCATATCCTAGTCTGTCAAATCTTTCTCTGATTCATCACTTTGTCTGTCCCTCAATTAGATATTATTGTTTGGGATTAAGGGTATGTACTAAGGGAGTGTCTATATTCCATCCAGAGTGGTTAAATGTATGCATTCCAGCCAGAGGGATTAAAGGTATATGGCTTGTCTGCATTCCAGCCAGATCACATAAACCTAGAAGGTCTTTAGATGTGATCCCTTGCCAGAGCAGCCACGTTGCTGAATTGAAATTCCCCTACGATTTATAGTCAGAAAAAGGATAGGTAGGTGATATGATCACTCAACGTGTAGTCTTTTCAGGAGCCATTGTCAGTTCCAGCGGTAGATGTGCTACTTTGCACCCCAGGCATATAAAGGATAGTTTAAACATTTAACTGAAAAGCAATAGCAAACAATAATGAACAATCTGAAGTAAACTCACTCCTATCCGCTCCACCTGGGAGGAACATGAAAACACATTCGAAGAACAATTCTGTGTTTTGAAGAAACTGAGGTCACAAGACTCTTGTCTTGCTTTCTTGGAGTTTTCTCACAAGCATGTTGTATTAGGTGTTTAAATATTTACTATTGATCTATCTTTTAGTAACACTGATGTTAATCCCAAACAGCTGTATAACCAAATCACCACACAGAGACTATGATTTATTTAGTTAACCTAGAACACAATGCTGGGCAATAGTTATTCATACTAAACCTCCAAGCCCGCATAGTTTCCTACCATTTAGATTTTCCACATTATACTTGCTTTTAGTGATATCTTAGGTCTGGTTCATCTCTCTACGTTGTTCCAAGACCTGTCCTCCAGTCTGTCTCTCCCAGCTTCTGCTCTTCCTCCTCCTCTGCCTCCCATTCCTTCCTGTCCTCTGGCTCCTTCCCCCTCTGGCCTACTCCTTCCTCTCCATTGCTCAAAATTGTAGCTGGTTGTTTTATTTTGGCCTGTGATGCTTAGAATAAGCATCACAATGCAATGTCCGGATTGAAACCAGAGAATGGGGGAGAGAAATCAGCATCTGAATGAACAAGGGTAAGGTATATACATTTCAAGAGAACATTATGCCAACACAAGCACTCAGAATTCTTTTCACAGGACTCCATTTCTAGACTGCTCCAATAATGAGGAGCAGTTATTGTTGTCTCTTTCATTTGCCGTCTACTTAACTCCAAAGCTAAGACTGATTGACAGCCACAGAGTCCAGCTGCTGCTTTGCTTCTGTTGAGACTAAGCACTCTCCTCAGTCACACTGACCCAGTGTCCACACTGCAATGGCACTTCCTGGACAGACAGTAGCACTGCTGACCTGAAAGTCCTGCTTCCCACAGAGTAAGCTTACTTTCCACAGCATCTGGAGACAGGGGGGAACATTCTCTGCAGAGTAGGATTAAACATCAATCTGTGGCTCTCTGCACCTAAAATATGGTGGTAGTCTCAAGTAGGCGAGAACAAAGGAATATGAATTACTGGGTTTATGAAGTTGTGAGTTTACAAAAAACAGGCACAGGCCTCTGTCATCATGTCAGAATTTAGAGAACATGAAAGACAGCTGTTGATCAAATGTGGGTCACCCCCCCCCACACACACACACACAACCAGCTGTTCACTCTATAGTGTGAATAACATCCCCAGTTCCTACAGAGGGAAGGTTTGGGGTAACACATGTACAGAGCTTCAGAGTATTCTCACCATAAATATTTCTCCACCCCCAACATTGTATATAGCTCTGATAGCTACAAATATAGTGGTAAGCCATGTCTCTACATAGCTGCCATGTGGTAAAGTATATTTTCATGAGGGGATATTCATGTGTTAGAAATAACACTGCAACACATTCCTTTTGAGTCCAACTCTTCACAGGGTTTGTAACATTGAAAAATTGAGACTGAATGCCTCATAGCAAATGCTAAGTTTCTAGTCATTTTTACTATGATATTTTGAATGTTGGAAGGAATTTGAGTTGTCTACTGTGCAGAATCTTAAATCAGGAAGCAAGCTACAACTTGGGCATGAGAATGGGAGAATGAGGTCAAGTCACAAGAGAAGGCTGGATAGATGTGCGCAGCTCTATGAACTAATGACAACAAAAGGCAAGAACTGGGCTTTCCTCCATGTCTTCCCCCACTCAGATGAAGATGAGGCCAGAGAAGTCACACTTAACACCTGCTTTTTTGCCTGCAGTAGGAAGGGTAGCCACAGGATAAAGTCACACATTTGGTAGTTTTGTTGGAGGCATCGTCACAGGTAAGAACAGACCAACTGTAGGCTCTTCAGAGAACTGGGTGGTTTGGATGGTTTCCCAGAGCCTTGATCAACCAGTAGATGTTCATTTTTCCATGTCAGTACTTTTTTATTATTACTTCGTTATTTGAGAGAGTTCGGCTATGTATTGGCTTTAATTGGTGAATTAATGGTAGCAGGCATTAGGTGTTTTACAGATCCACTGGTGGAAACACACAGAGGGAAAAACAATGAGGGTGCACACTGTACTGATTTAGGAACCCAACCTTTGAATGTGACTACGTGACTCTTTTGGCATCCTAAGACGATACCTTCACTTCTGTGGCGGCTGCAGGAACCCAGGGTAAGCTGCCCCACGTTCCTTCCAGAATCCCATTCTTGGAATTTCAGTATCTGTGCAAGGTGGAAGAGCTGCTCCATGTATGAAAGACTTACTAACTCTCTGTTCTCTTCCTGGCAACTCTGCTGTGGTTCTGAAGCCCAAGATGGGGCAGCTCTGGACAACTGCACTGCCTTCTAATATGTTTTATCTGCTGGTGAAATGAGCCAATTCAAGTCAGATTAAAGCATACAGGTGGGTTTATTGGGTGCCTCTCTTGGGTGGGTTCACTCGTCCCAAGAGATGAGGCCAGGGAAGTCACCATGAGGAGGGAGACAGAGAGAAGGGGGAAGAGAAAGAGAGAAAGAGCCTGTGCACACAGGGAGAGAGAAAATGCAGAGAGAGGGAGGGAACCAAATTTCTGGATTATATAGGGAAGCCCAGTCACTGGGCTGGAAAGTTCAGGGTAGAGGGTGGGGTATCCCGGTCATGTCCTGTAACAGGTGGAGATTGAAGGATACTGAAAGAACCTGGTCCACTCTAGTATGTTAAATATGTACCTCAGCCTCTCGTCCCGGGTCTGAGTTACCCTCATTCAAAAGAGACCCTACCCAGAGTCAGAGTATAGCAGACACTGGGGCAGAAGTCTTGCTTCCTACGGGCATCCTTGGCATTGTTTCTGCTACTGGTCAGTTCATTTCTAGGTGGAACAGATTGGACAAATGGGGAATCATTGTCCTTGAACTACTGTCTGTTCCTATGCAAACTGTCATTGTCATGCTTGGACTTCCTGGAACAGTCCACCAATTACCTCCCCCGTAAGAGCAGCCATGGACCGATCCGCCATACTCTTTTCCCAAACACATGATGTGGAGTCCTAGCCAGGAAGTCCTCTATGCACAGGAGCCATGAGGAGACTGGGGCCCAATGCTGGGGATCTCTGCAGGGCTTTCTGCTCACTGTCTGATAGATATTTGAAGGAAACACTAAGAAAGTGTCTGTAGCTCCGTGGGCTACCTAGAGGAGAAACAGATCAGACAGAAGAACCCCATCTTAGTTCACCAAGATGTCAGACTGGCCCCTCAGAGTCCTGGGTCATGCCTGAGAATGACTCTTAGGAAAGAAGAGGATGAGAAGCTCAGAGATGGTGCCCCCCTGATACTCATGGCTTCCAAAACATTGTTCTGTATTCAGTGTCTGCTTGATGAAGGGCATGATCACAAAGATATTGTTATCATTTCCTATCATCCGTGTCAGTATTCACTCATTAATATTTGAAAAAGGAAAAACCCCACAAAAATATACCTTCTCTATTTTGGAACAGTTTGAAAAATTGTATTAATTCCATTTCAGACATTTTGTAGAATTTGGCAAGCAAAACCATCATGCTCTGGGACTTTCCTGGTGGAGATCTATAAGCAGTCTAAAAGTTGCATGGGGTTGTAAGAAGCCCAACGTTGAAAAAAAAAAAAAAAAGGATGTGGTATAGATACAGGAGGAGTTTTCAAAGCTCATAAAACACTGGTGTAGAGTGGACAGGGCATCATAAGGTTAAGAGAATTGGCTTATGGTGCATTTTGGTTTTAGTAAGCATATGAGGCCCTGTAGCCATTCCAGAAGGTATCCCTTTAAAGTACACGGATATAGATTAATGGAAGTGTGTGACGTATTTTGAGGATCGATAAATGTTCCTGGTGCGTTCCAGAAGCAATAGATTATAACAGAGGGCAATACACACGGCTGTTGATAAATATTTAAGCAGCTGGGGATCAAGGAAGTTCGTAATGTTCCTTCCCATTGCTCACGAAGTCACCACAAGCAGACATCAAATAGATACACCATGTGGTATAAGCAGAGATCAGAGATCAGAGGAACATCAAAGGCTTCGGGGAGGATAAGGGAGCTTTGTCTGGTTCCGGTATACATTTCCATGCTTTCCCCTTACACATATGCAAACACTAAAATCTAAGCCTAATTCAACGGACTCGTTTTTCTGTGATCCACCTCATGGTGACCAAATACAAACAACGTAAACATCGCTCCCCCTCCCTAATCACCAGGCGCCTGCGGCCCCGGGGGAAGGTCTCAGGATGACAGTCATAAGCGTCTTATGTCTGAGCTGCCCTTATCTCTTCACCCCATACCTACACCCACAGCTAAGCCAGTTCAGTAGCCCTCATATCTAGGAGCGTGCGCTGAAACGCAATCTGTTGAGACCCAGCTCTGTTTGTCTTTTCTTCCCAGGTGCCCTGGTGTACTTCCATACTGAAATGTCTTTCTGTGTGAGACGCTGACCAAATGTCCACACTATTCCATTAAAAGGGTACCAGCTCCCACAGAGAAGCGGACAGATGGCACGGCACTGGCCAGCAGGTGGCGCAGCGGTCCCAAAGGTTGCTCTTTTCCCTGAGACTCTTCCGTGGACTCTTGGCGCAGCGATGGTTGCGCATCCAACTGTAGCCCTCTGAACTCTAAACGCTACCCACATTAGCTTCAAAAGCAAATATTCCAAAGAAAACGAAGGAGACTCCGTAAAAGAGGTTGCAATCTATGAGTTCACAGATCTTCCCAGCACCGAGTGAGGGTGTGAGTTCACGAAAGCAACCATAACTCCTGTTAACGCTTTGAAATTTGGAAGGCTTGGGGATGACTTTTTATTTTACCGAAGTTAAACCAGTACCTTAGAGTGCCTTAAATGGGGAGGGGGAGAATAAGTTTTGGAGCAGCCTCGCATATATCCATGTCTAAATATGCCTGTTGAATTTGGCGGGTGGTTAAGAATTGGGGGCTCGAGGCCTCCAATGCCCTCTGCAGTGCACCATGCTCGGCCCGGGATCCATGCACCTGTGCAGGTGGCGTGAGCGGGTGTGGTGGCTGAGGATCCGGTTCTCTGCCACCTGGTCCCTCCTGCCGCTGTACCTCTGTTGTGTGTCGAGACACTTCTTGTGTTTCAAATGACTTCAGTCACGTTACAGCTCGGCACAAATTGAGAAGCACAGACAAAGACACGTGGATTTTGTTTGTGTGTGTTTTTTAAAAGCCGGACCCACATAGAGCAAATCCAGTTTCCCCAGATGTGCACAGATACTTCCGGCGATGAGTATATCTGGGCGGGACTTCCTGCTTTGCTTCATGTTTCTGCCTTTGCTATAATGCTACTTAAAATTCTGTCTGTGGCACTGACACACACTTAGGGCTTTATGGGTTGACACATGATCTTGGCCTGTTCGGTCAAACCCTAACATTTAGAATAAGGATGACCTAACTTTGAAAAGTTAGGTCACTGTGACAATGGAAAATTGAAGATAATCATCATGTTTTTGGTGTGTGTGTGTGTGTGTGTGTGTGTGTGTGTGTGTGTGTGTGTGTTTTACCTCCCACATTGCCAATGGCTTTGAGAGTTGTTCTAATCTAAATGAGGCAGAGCTATAAACTGCAGGATTAAAATGATTACAACAGCATTGACCTTTCTTATTATTATTTATCAGAAGCCTGTGTGCTAGCCTTGATATTCCTACAAGCCGGAACCAAGAATTTCATTATAGTATTCTGGAACCTGGTTCTCAGAGCCTTGCTTGGAGATAACAATCAGGCACATCCATAGAGAACTTGCTGCAAAGATTTATTTAGGTATAAAGGAGAAAGAAGCTTGAGGACACAGCATGGCACAAATACAGTATCCTTCAAGATTTCAAGTCACAGGACAAACTATTCTTGTTCTCAGTGCTCAATGGCAGCAGAGTCAGAAGACGTAGCCTCGGTAACTGCAGGCCCCATAGAGGCGTTCGAGGAAACCACAGCCTCTTCTTCTACAGTAGCAGGTCAAGCCTGACTTCACATCTGGGGATAGAGAGATCGCATGAGACACTCGGAGCCTGGGTCAGTGGATGGAAGAGATCCTGGGCAGGATATAGACTGGGTGAAGTGGGTTTCCCACGTTCATCATTCCCGGCAGCAGCGTGAGCAGCCACAGTGTGAATAAACATATATGGTAAGCACAAAGCTCCTGCCATCATAACATTTTAAACACACATCTCCAGTGTCTAAAATATAATAGACACAATAAAATGTTCTCCCTTTGACAAAGTCTAGCTATTTAGATCTAGGGAAAAACAAAACAAACAAACAAACAAAAAAAAAAAACAAAAACAAAAAAAACCTAGTCCCTAAGTCTCTTTATATATTAAACCCTGTTATGATCATGAACATATCTTGGAACACACAAAAAAAATCTTTGCAGAAAGAAATTTATTTATTTGACTCTTGCTGTTCAATGAGAAAAATAGAGAAGTAATAAAGTCACCCAGGTGACTCCGTTTCAAAGCGTCTCCACCTTTCTTTCTACTCCCTATCCCCAGCACAATGTCGTTTCCCACTGTCATCTTGAAGAGAAGTGCTTTTATCCCTTCCAAAGGATATGGACATATCCTTGTCCTCCTCTCCCAGCCAGTCTTGGACTGGAGCTTCATCAGCTATTCTGTGGACAGGTTCTGCCTGGGTCTGGAGGGCCAGCAGGAAAAGAGCAGTGAGTGTCCTCATGGCCGTGGGTTTCCAGATGATGAAAAAAGAAATCAGGAACCAAGTGTTCGGGGTGTATGTGACGAGAAAGATCTGACACAGGCTCCTAAGTTAGAAAGAGTCTACACTGATAAGAAGGGGGATTTGTCCTCAGGGTCTTCTTGATAGTCTTGTTTTCACAGCTTCCCTCATGACATGCCTCAGTCTGTGTGGTAGTGACTGTCTTTAGTTTAAGCTGGTGAGGATGAGGAGGGCTCTGCTATTGTTTCCTGTCACCACTTGGATTTTGTACTTAACACTTGAATGAGTCTTTACTTTTTAATGTTAGATGAAGAAGAAGAAGAAGAAGAAGAAGAAGAAGAAGAAGAAGAAGAAGAAGCACTTTCATGCGTTAAGCCCAAGGAAGCAACGCCTCTCAGTCTCTGAAGATGGATTCTGATGCCACCTGAAGTTGCTCACTCTGGGGCCAGACCTGGACCCTGATGATGTAGAGAGCCTAGCTTGCTAGGGTTGGTTGCATCGCATCACATGTGATGACCACGTTATCAAACTGTGGATGAAATGAGCTGTGACTTTAGCTAGGTACAGCTGATCTAAGAAGGAAGAGTGTTTATCCTTCCTACTTCTCTGCAAGTATGTTTGGCAATTAAGCCAGTAAGTATTAAAGCATACAACCCAATGACTTGATGCATAATTGGATCTTTATCTCAAATAAAATGGATTAAAGACGTGGGCATAAGACTTAAAAACATAAGACTACTAGAAGAAAATTCAGAGCTGGGTCTGGCCAGTGATTTCTCGCATGGCACCAAAGGTGCTGGGAACAAAGCAAAGGGGGCAAGTAGGTTGTACGGAACTTTACAGCTCCTACACAGGACAGGAACTAAACATTAGAAATGGCAAGCTAGAACATGGTGGGAAAGGTTGGAAAAGCATACATCTGATAAGAAACTAATATCCAAAGGATGTAAGCAGTGTGTGCAACTCAATAGCCAAAATCAAACCATACCAAGAGCTATTTCTTAAAATAGAAAGACATTTTAAAGATTATATTATTGTTCCTACTGGAATGACAGGTAAGACATCTGTGTTTTTTTTTTTTTTTTAAAAAAGTTTTGTGAGTTTCTTCTTTACTAATAACTATTGTCCTTATCAGCTCCCAGAGGCCCACATAGAAGAGCCTGGGAAGCGTGTCTGATGATGCGGGCTCTTCCAGAGCAGCCTTGCCTTTAGGAAGTCAGATGCAGCTAGGCCTCAGGGACACATCTATACTTTGAAAATTAAGGGACTTTCATTACCTACAGATCCTTGGGCTATGCAGGGAGAGAGAAGCAGGAGAGACAGTGCTGCTCTGTCCAGATCTTGCAATACAACAGCAGCTGAAACATCTTGAAACAGACTTCCCCTATTGAATGGTCACTTGTGATGTCCTAACATTTTTGTGGTTAATTTCTATTGGATACCCAAACACCTGTGGTGCAAGGATGGTTAGGCAATTTGGAAAAGCTGGGGGCAAAGCAGGGCTCCCCAGAAGGACTTCTTATCTACCTTGTCCAGGACTAGACAGCATTTATTTGTCCATTACTGCTAACACAGTGGAGCCTGTGCCACATGGCCCAGTAGCTGAGGCTTAATCTCTGATGTCAGAAAGTATGAAAGTGTACACACAAAATGTGTGGCTTACAAATCATGGTTTATGCTTTGTGAAAATGACTAGAATAAATATTCAGTGAACATGTATAGAAGGATTTGAAAGCTACTTCTCAGCAAGCCTCCCCAGGACTGAGGTCACAACCATTAGGACTAGTTAAGGCACCAGTGGAGTAGGACATTGCACTAACGTGAAACTGTGCTTTTGTTCTGCCTCAGTGACTGCTGGAACATGAAAAAAAACTAGCAAGTGTTTTCCCCCTAGGATTTGAACTACAAAAGCTCCATAGATCTGCCCTTCATTCCCTCTGCCACCAGAGAAGGAAAGAGAAAGAAAGGCTAAGGGTAACACTCTTATTTCTTGAACCAAGCAATTTCTCTAGTCACCATTTCTTCTTACAGTTCTCAAGAATCTGAGTGAAAATTCTGGACCCGAGGTGGTTCCTGGACCTTGAATCCAAGACTCCAATTAAGACACATGGGGAAGAATCAGTCCTAATGCAGGGCATCTGACACAAAAGAGCTAGCTACAAGTGTTCTTGGTCCAGCCTGGGCATCAGAGTTCCCAGGTGACCCTGAAGCACAGCTTTATTTAGGGTAATTATCAACAAACCAGGGTTGCCCATGCCACAGGGCCAGCAGGCAGTGGCACAGGTCACAAACCAGAAGTTTTAGGTTGACGCTCAAACGAGGGTGAATCTAGGTAAGGGCAAGTGTGTGGGCATGTGGTCATTGGCTGGAGGCCTGGTGAGTGGGGAGGGGGTCACCGTCACCTAGGGGTTCAAAGTATTAAGAGGATGGGGAGGTGACATCTGGACCACATGAGAGCAGATAATCCTTCCCTCTAACCTGCACGTTTCTGAAATGACCTGTGGCAAGGGAAAGATGCAAAAGCACAGGAAAAAAAATATATGTTTTCTTAATCCCTTATCTTTTGTTTCTGGTTGTAGAAAGGGTTCAGAAAAGCAAACTTTCAAATGCAAACAAATTCTCTGTGCTGGAGAGATACCTTTGTGTAATGTAGCTCTGTACACTGTACATTATTACCAAGAGATGGCATCGACCGCCATGTCCCTCAGTGGATGAGTGGACAAAGAGAATGTGGTGTGCATAAAGTGTGTGTGTGTGTGTGTGTGTGTGTGTGTGTGTGTGTGCATGTGTTTCAATAACTGAGATGATCCTGGAAGACACTTACTGAGTAATATCCAGACTCACAAGCAGAAGGACAACTTGTTCTCACATATCCAAGATAACAAGCAATGTAACGGAAGGTGAGCAAGTACTCCAGTCCTTGCTACCGGAGACTGGCAAGGTCAAGGGCATGCTGACCAAGGTTGGTCAGTAAGTAGCGTTACATTTACATAGGAGCAATGAGTCCCGGTGGACTATTGCGCAATAACATGGCTGTAAATAATAACGGATTATGGATTTCAAGACAGCTAGGACAGTGGGATTTCAGTGTTTCATCATAAACTATAAATATTCAAGGCAACAGATAGGCTGATTCTCCAATTTAATCATTTCACAATGTGCACACACACGTATTAGCCTTTACAATTGTGCACCTCAAAATTTTCACCATTACAATAGGTCAGTTTAAAAACAATGAACTCTTGGCGTTTTACAAGAAAATTTCACCCTAAACTTCAAAAGCGGGAAGGAAGAATACAAGAGATGATTGCATCCAGGCTCAAGAATCCGCAATAGGGCGATGTGTTGGAACATACTCTCTGGAGACAAACGTAAGAGAGGCCTTTAGCCCTGCGAGCTTAGTGGAGAGGCTCTGGAGGACATTAGTGGGGAGGTTCATCAGTGTGATTGTGTCCCGGGCTTGCTGATTGACATTTACTGGAGTTACCCTAACTGCCCCTGAAACAAAGGACCCATATCCTTGGCAATCACACTTCAATAGGGTAATCCCACATGTGATTTAACCATTAAATTTATTTTGCTCAGGTCACAGATGGCTTATTTAAGGCAGAGATGCCTTAAAGCAATATTTGAGGCTCAGGGAGTTTACAGGCTGGAGTTAGGCTTTCTCTACTGATTGAGTCAGTGGAGCTGGTGTCCCTCACATCCAACACACCAAGTGAGATACTTCTAGCATCCTTTCTTCCTCAAAGAGTGATGGGGTATTCTAGTCCCCAGCATGACATCCCTACTGAATGCCCACGACCTTCTCTGCTGTGAACCCATGCTGCTAGAGTCTGCAATCTAAGAGGCCACCAGCACTGCGGTCCTTTCCTCAGACCGGGTTTCTCCCTCAACGTTTTGGAGTCTTACCACCCTGTGGCATTGCTGGAGACCAGGCCACAAGGAGACCTGTCTGCTGATTTCTTTATCGTGAATGTCATTTCCCAGCTGCAGTAAGTCACTTGAGTGTACATCGCAGAGTTCACTCGAGTCACAAAACACGTGAACTTTCTGTATGTGAAGAACAGTGTTCTGTATAGAAAGTGCATTTTGTCACACACAAGTGCAGGTGCTACAGATAACATGACACCACAGAGCAAGATGCCCTGCTCTTCTTCCTACCCATTCTGTCCTGTACTAACTTT